TGGCCTTACTACTAGGAACAAGAAGCTATTAGGGGCTCCTGGCCTTACCACTAGGAACAAGAAGCTATTAGGAGCTATTAGGGGCTCCTGGCCTTACTATAGGTTACTACTAGGAACAAGAAGCTATTAGGGGCTCTTGGCCTTACTACTAAGAGCAAGAAGCTACCCTTTTTTGTTCCTTTGTCTTCATCCCAGGCGCAGTGTCCCTGGACGAATTCCACACGGCCATCGAAGCAGCTGCGCCTGTGAAATCACTGGAGGCAAGTAACGCACAGAGCTTGTATCTGGACCATTAAATTTCTGGTGGATAGATACATCGTTTGAAAGACGTTGTCTGGAGTCTGAAGAGTAAGTACATTTGTTTCTCAGCCTGAGTTGATCTAGTTGCTGTCTCATTGCAGTAGAGGTGTCATCAAGAGAGCAGTCAGTAAGTACAACGACCCAATGGTACGCCACAAAGTCAAAGATTCTGAGTTCTTTCTTTGCGATGCAATGGCCATGCACCCAACACAATTTGATTCAAGTCGAGCAAATGTATACTGAGTATGCTTGCTGGATGGATTTGGCCGTCCTCCACTCGCATTGCTTGCCAGTTAAAGCACTTTCCTGAAAGACACTCACCACGAATAAAACGCCTATGCAGAAGACTTGCTTTCTCCTTTAGCAGTATTCCGCGCTCGAAGACACTGGAGGACCTGCGAAGAAAGTGGGTGGCTTTGGGCTACTCATCGATGCGGCAGGCTTTGGCCTATTCACCGATACCGAAAGATTCATTCATTTGACATAGGCTTTGCTGAACATGGATCTCAACAAGGACCCCGGCAGGTGGGCCGCTCACTTCACGTGCTGAGTAGGTTCTGGATGCAATTTGGACCTGTTCATGTAGGTTTCTCCTTGCTTTGGTTTGAGATTCATCGTGTGGTGTTCGACCCGGCCCTCTTGGAGACATGCGCTTGAGGTCCTTCACGCTGCAAGAGTTTGGTGTGCTACTGTCACGTGTCGGTGCGACACTGAGCGAAGGTTAGAAGAGGGAAAATGGCAAACAACCTAGAAGCGATACCTACTAGCGATGGCAAACAACCTAGAAG